CCGGAAGTGGAGAAGTCAGAGTCCGGCAGGGAGAAGATGGTGAGGGTGGTGATGGCGGCGGAGAGGAGGGGCAGGGCGGCGATGAGCTGGAGGGTGAGGGACATGGCAGAGTACCCCGAGCTGGCTAGGGTCTCGGCGGTGTCGATGATGGAGAGAGTGGAGTTGCAGAGACGCCATATGAAAGGTCTGTACATGTACGTTGGTTTTAAAAGAAAGTTTCTCGTTATATGGTAAACAAAAAGTCAAATTTGGTATTAAGGTTTGTACCTTTAAAATGAAATGAATTATCCACTGGCTATTTTTGGAGACAGTTGACATTTACTCGATCATTCTGGAAAACCCTGGCTTTCTTGTTGGTTTGCTTGCTTAAATATTTCATTCGTGAATTTGCTTACCCTGCATCCTTATATTGTCTCTTGATGCAATGAACTCAGTTATAAATGGTATTATATCCATCATAGTTTGCTCTGGTTCAGAGTTCCCAAGTGGATTTCTTGCCTTATATTTAGTGATTGGGGGAACTTGGCAAAGGATTTTAATATTGAATTCTTATAGCATGATTAGTTTGGTTCGCTGGTTCTATTTCTTGAAGAATATTGTGGAAAATATTTGAAATAATGAGAATAAAATAATGGAGCAGACTTGGGTATTAAGTTGATAATTTGAGTTGATTTGGTGACATCCTTCAGTGTAATAATAAATGGATGTGATTGTTGGTTTAACAATTGAAGAGTGATATCGTAGTGTGATGATGATAGATGAGTGAATATTTTCAACAGCATAGTATTTGGATGTGATAGATCCATTGAAAGTGAGACGAATTAGGTGTACTTTTGAAAATTTTCAGAAGAAATCACATGCCATGGAAAAATTTGCAGAAAAACTTTTGCAGGCAATTTTTTATGAGCATCCACAGCGTAATATCGACAGTGGCTTCTAGAAGAGTTAGAAGACTAATATATCAAGTTATCAACAAAGTAATTGAATGGAATTATTCCCTTTATTTGCTCTTTGTTTTGTCAGAAGCAGCGTTAGTGTTCATCCTTAAATTGCTTATTGAGTTGCTTTATACCACTTTCATGTTATATATATGTGTGTGTGTGGGTGTGTGTGTTTCATGCAGGTCGAATCTACCCAAAGTATGATACGTATAGTTGGCCTTTCTGCTACTTTGCCCAACTACTTGGAGGTAGCATTCTTCAGCCTGCTGAAATCAATTTTTGAAGGAATTACTATTTGATTAAGGTTCATTATGACGATCATTTATTTGTGTGTGCTTCCTGACGTTTATAGATGTTTATACTATTCGAAAACTAGGTGGCACAATTTCTGAGGGTAAATCCAGAAACAGGCCTATTCTTCTTTGATTCAAGCAATCGCCCTGTACCTCTTGAGCAGCAGTACATTGGGATTTCGGAACACAACTTTCTAGCTCGTAATGACTTGATGAATGACATATGCTACAATAAGGTTGGATTTATTTCTTGATTTCTACGCTGCTATGTGATTTCTGCTAGAAGTTTTAACATTAGTGTTGTAAATTCCTTGGTACAGGTAGTGGATTCATTACGGCAAGGACATCAAGTCATGGTTTTTGTTCATTCACGGAAAGACACAGGGAAAACAGCTGACAAACAGTAATGTTTAGCAACGATGTTTATAAGCTTCATTGGATTTAGTCAATGAAACAATTAGATATTCTTTCATTACTTTTTGGTCCAATTAAAGCATATCCAATCGCATCCAAGTCATAGCAGAAAAATCTGCCTGAATCCAAGATGAATACCTGAATACTCATCAGATAAAATATGATCCATTTAATTTTAGATCCTAGAAATAATAGAGTTGCTCAAAGCCAAAGGAGATAGTTGGAACCATTTAATTTGATAGTGGTTCCTAGAATGGGTTTATGATCTGAAGACCATTGGAGAACAAATTCAGAATCACAACTCTGGGAAGTAGTCGTTGAATTCGAGCAAAAAACGCAAAAATTGCTGAAAGGTTTCAGCAATAGTGGTGTTCAGATTGATTAGTTGATGCTGATTAGGGTTCACAACAACTGGTGTAACGTCATGCCCAGTTGATGGCGGTGTCTAGTTCAAGCAGTGATGAGAATGTTAAATGCTCTAATATCATATAAGATACGAAGAGATGATAGTTTCTATGTGTAATTTAAGTACATAGAACTCGTACCAGAGTGGATACAGGCTAGGTTATAATATCTGCCAAAACCCAAGAAAACAACACATCGTCCTACCATACACAGAAGATTTCAGGAGGCTGGTATGGTTATTCTTCAACATCGATGGTAATTTTATTTATAACTTAGATAATTTTGAAAACTAAATTAAATTTATATACTTTTACTTCACTATTTTAGATCATTTGATACCTTTATTGTTGGAATGGAAGATGGACTTTTGAAGTTAAAATAATTATTAATTATTATTTTAGGTATTAAAAATAATATTATCAGAAATATTTGGTAATAAAATTTGAAAGCCTTTAAAATTTTAGGAGATATTATGAAATATCCTTAGTGTTATTGTGTTTTTTATGCTGTTTTTATGTCATACTTAGGCAATGAATTTATGAACTATGTTAGTTAAGTAAGTATAATTAATGTCGACTGTTAATTTATATGGAAACTTGGAGTATTGGATCAGACAAGTGAGCGAGAAATATGAGAAGCACCAAAGGCTGCCACTTGTGAGCCTTGCATCTTAGAAGAGACATGCTCTAAAGTCTTAATAGTATGTAGTGATTGATTTAAATGTCCGATGCAACTGACACCACCAACTTAAAGGGAAACTTTAATGATGCATGTAAACATAACAAGGAGATCGCTCATGTAAGTTTGAATATTTGTTTGCCATATTATCTGAGAAAAAGGTAATTCACAGGTTGAGATTGCTAGAAGACATGAGGACTGCGATCTCTTCACCAATGCTTCACATCCTCAGTTTGAACTTATAAAGACAGGGAACTTTTGTTGATAAGTTTTTTGTGACACCTCCCTTTTGATAGAGTGAAGGGCAATAATAACAATAGATAATGAAAGAACTACCCCGAAGGGTCCTCAGGCTATCTTGCCTGCCACAAACGTCAATATTCTAGAATAACTAATCTAACTCTTAGCCACCAATATATATACTAAACCCTAATAATTTAATAATTAAACCCTAAAGCCCATTTAAGAGCCTGCCAACTTAACTAATTATATTAACTAAATAATAAGGATAACTGGGCCTACGCCCTAGGGCCCAGTAGCAGCTCGTTTTAGTCTTCTAGAATAAACTTTCAGAAATTGGTCTTTATCACCTCCTGCCCGGACGGAAACAGCCTTGTCCTCAAGGCTGAATTTAGGGAATTGGCCACGTACTTCCTGATGTCCAGCCAAACCACCTCATCATCCCCGTGATCTACCCATTTGATTAGAACCTGTGGAACCATTGCCCCATTGCGCTTAATCTGTCGTCGACCTAGCACTTTCTCCGGAATAAATAATGGGTCATCTCCCAATAATTGCTCAACGGAATTCAGTCCCACTGAAGCTTTTAACAACGAAACATGAAAGACAGGATGCACCCTTGCGGTACCAGGCAATTTCAATCGATAAGCAACTGCTCCAATACGAGCTTCTACCTCAAATGGCCCAAAAAATCGAGGTGCTAACTTAGTGTTCATGCTACGGAAAAGCGTCCGCTGTCGAAAAGGACGAAATTTGACAAACACTTTATCCCCTATTGCAAACTCCACGAACCTACGATGATTATTCGCTTCACGAATCATGCGTTGTTGAGCACGTTCCAGGTGGAAACGCAAATGGCGCAAGATCTCATCCCTGTCCCGAAGATTCTCTACTAATGATTGTGCCCTCACTTCCCCTGGTATAAAACGATGTAGCCTAGGAGGTGCACGACCATAAACTACCTCAAATGGAGTACCGCCCACACTTGATTGAAAACCCGTATTGTAGCAGTACTCTACCCAAGCCAACCACTTACTCCACTCTCTTGGCCTTTCAGAACTAAAACAACGCAAATATGTCTCAAGGCAACGGTTCAGTACCTCGGTCTGTCCGTCCGTCTCAGGATGATATGCCGAACTCATTCTCAACTTAGTGCCTGCCAACTTAAATAACTCCTGCCAGAACGAACTTAGGAACACTGGATCTCTATCTGATACAATTGATGTTGGAATCCGTGCAAGCGCGCACCTCTCGACAGAACAAATTCGCCACAGATCGGGCGGTGTAAGGGTGTCTCAATCCCAGAAAATGACCATATTTTGAATATCTATCAACAACCACCAGGATACAGTCAAGATTGCCCGAACGGGGAAGGCCCGAAATAAAGTCCAAGCTAATGTCCTCCCAAACTCGATCTGAAATTGGCAAGGGTTGTAGCAAGCCCGCTGGCGACTTGGTGTCGTACTTGTTTCTTTGACAGATGTCACAACGCCTCACAAAATCTGTCACTTGGCGCATTATTCCTGGCCAATACACGTTTGCTGCTAAGCGTCGATAAGTGCGGAATGCCCCAAAGTGACCTCCTGTTGGTGTGAAATGGAATTCTGAAATTAATTTGGTGGTCCACTCGGATCCACTAGGAATTGCCAAGCGACCCTTATAGAAAAGATTCCCATGAACAAGGGAGTAATGCGGTGGTGCAGATGTGCTAGATTCCAAGGCCGACACAATTTTGGATAACTTTGGATCAGACTCAATAGCCGATTTTAGTCGACTCCAATCCATCCATGTGGGCATACTAATGGCTGTTAATTCCACCTCCTCCTCATGCCTACGTGATAGGGCGTCGGCAGCTTGAATTGAAGTTCCAGAGCGATAAACTATTTCAAAATCAAAACCCAATTTTGTTGGGCAGGAGTAGTCAATTGTTGTTGTAATAGATGTTTCAAGCTGCGTTGATCCGTACGAATTAGAAAGCGTCGCCCCATGAGGTATGGATGCCAGTGTTGTACCGCCATCACCAATGCCATCAACTCCTTCTCGTAATCGGATTTAGCCAAGGCGCGGTCTGAAATACCCTTGCTAAAATAAGCCACTGGACGACCTTGTTGCATCAAAACCGCACCAAGCCCTCGTCCAGATGCATCACATTCAATGACAAACGACAATGAAAAGTCAGGCATAGCTAAAACCGGAGCGGAAGTTAGTGATTGTTTGAGTTCTTGGAAAGCTTGTTCAGCCTCATAAGGCCAGACCCACTCCCGAGATGTCGTTTTTTTCAATAGAGACGTGAGAGGAGAGGCAATCTTGCCATAACCACAAATGAATCGGCGATAGTAACCTGTGAGGCCAAGGAAACCACGCAGGCTAGGAAGAGAAGCAGGACGCGGCCATTGGAGCACTGCAGCGATTTTTGTTGGGTCCATATGCACCCCATCTGACGAGACCACATGGCCGAGACACTCCAAATTTCTTTCCAAACGAAAACTTCTTCGGATTTATTGAAAATGAGTGTTCCCGAAGGAGGCCCAATACCTGTCGGAGATGGCATAAATGCTCCTGCCACGTCTTGCTATACACCAAGATGTCGTCAAAAAAAAGACTAATACAAACTGACGGAGATGAAGCCTGAAAATATCATTCATGATGGTCTGGAAGGTGGCGGGAGCATTAGTCAACCCAAAAGGCACTACTAAGAACTCGTAATGACCTGAATGTGTGCGAAATGCCGTTTTAGAAATGTCCCCTTCAGCAACCCGTATCTGATGGTAACCGGCCCGGAGATCGAGCTTGCTAAACCACTTTGCCCCATGCAGCTCGTCTAATAATTCCTGGATGATAGGGATAGGATATTTATCCGGAACCGTATGCTTGTTCAACTCGCGGTAGTCCACACAAAACCTCCAACTACTATCCTTTTTGCGAACTAAGAGAACAGGACTCGAGTAGGGGCTGCAACTTGGGCGGATCAACCCAGCTTCCAACATATCTGCCACCAGTCGTTCCATTTCATCTTTTTGAAAATGATTGTAGCGGTATGGTCTCACTGAAATGGGTTCGGTACCCGGCTGCAGGTTAATATGATGGTCAATGTGTCGCTTAGGAGGTAGTCCGGAAAATGGTGTTAAGATCTCCGAAAATTTCGCTAAAAGAGACGAGATTTCATCCCGAGTTGGTGAATGAGGCTCGGTTGACACAGGACAACGCGATGGAGATTCTGAATGATCCATTGACCATAAAAGCCATGTTTGCTCACCGTTTGAAAATTCACGAATTGCTGTAGCCATAGAAACAGCTTGGCGGGTGAACGAGGGATCCCCCCTCAGAAGAATCGTACGGCCATCTTTAACTAATTCCATTGTCAAGTTTTTCCAATTTGCTTTCACATCCCCCAAAGAAGCCAACCAAGAGACACCCAATATTATATCCACCCCTCCTAATGGAAAAACAAAGCAATCAACCATAAATGTAGCCGACTGCAAATAAAGAGGAAGGGCGCGACACAATCCCTGTGCGGAAATGCGTTGACCATTGCCGAGCATCACAGAATATGTCGGTGAAGGCTCCACATGTAATCCCAATTTATGCACAACCCTTTCCGAAATAAAACAATGGCTAGCGCCACTATCAACCATAGTCAGGAGCTTAAAATTCTCAAGTCTGCTTATCA